TTCAAATATAATAATCAAAAAATATAAGATTTTAACAGAATAAAGCTTATATTTAAATATAAATTTATTATATTTTATATATAATATTTTTAGAATTTTAAATTTTAAAAAGAAATAGTTACTTATATTTGAGAATTACTTATATTTAGAGATATATAATATAAAATTACTTTTTTTATTTTAACAAAAAATATTTCTTGTAAAATTTTGCTTTATAATATTTATATATTTATTAAAAATAATATTACAATTAATTATAATTTAATCATAATTCTCTAATTAACTATCATAATTAATTATAATTAAATCATAATTTTCTGATTGATTATTATAAGTTATAATTAGTTAAGAGATTATTTTTAGTAATACTTTATAATATTATACTATTATAATATCATATGAAATATAATCTTAACTATAATTTAATCTTAATTATAATCATTATATTTATAATTTAGTGATTTAATTGATTTATCTCTTAAAAAATTATATGATCTAATACTTTTAAGATTTTAATTAATTAAATTATGAGTTAATCATTATTTTTATTAAATATGTGATCACATATAAAATTCAGTCAATCAGAAATATCTTTCTAATGCTAAAAATTTACTCTATTTACTATTGATTTCTATTTAAAGTATTTACAAAAAAAATATTTTTTATAAAAAATACATTAGTTTATAAATCTTATTAAAGACTATTTAATAATATATTTTTTTATCATTATGTTTTTATTTATATATTTTTAATAGTTAATACTATAGTAATTAGATTCCATTATCAAACGCCAATCACATTTCGATATAGGTTCATCGATCATTCTGCTAATTTTGAAATACCCCAGATTTCACTGCTGATCACTCACACAGAAAATTCGTTAATTTAGCATTATGCAAACTTTCCAACAAATTAAAGAAGCAATAGAATCTTGCATTCATATTTGTCTTTCGGTATTTTACAAATACTTACATGTTTATTATTGACTTCGGCAACTTTGTTTGACTTTTTATTTACTATGACAAATCAAGGAGAAGTCCAAGGACACTGATTGCTTCAAAAAGTTTACAAATTTACTTGAAGACACGTTATCAGAGAGCCCACAACAGTTTTATTACTCTAATAAAGAAAAGGCCGAATTACTTGAGTGTGTTTACCAAAATTTAGTTTTAATAAGTGAGGAAAATAGTAAAGCTAACGAAGAAAAGGTAAAAATTTCAATCATGCTTAATAATAAGTGGTATTATTTATTAATAAAACGGTTTAACAGATCACTCTTATCAAACGAACCTCATGGGAGATTTTCAATATCATATTACCATATCTTGCAAACCATGCCGAGGATGGAGAGGACACAAATTCAATGATTAGGATAGCACGACAAATTCTTAAGGGAATCGCTAAGTATAATCCACCGCGAGAAATGATACTTTTGATTCTTGAAAAATTCAGCTTTGATTGGGAAAATCTCGAAAAAAGAATTAAGCATGTGATGTGTATTATTGAGGCAATGAAACTTGGTGAGTTTTGTTTCTTTTATCTTTAGATTACTAATTTTTAATTGTTGATTTTTTTAATTTGTTTAAATTTTTTAGTTTTTCCTCTTTTTGATCAAAATACTTTGTCGAAATTTTTGCCGGATACAATAAAGGCTTTGGTTCGCGCTCTATCACAGTTATCTATAGAAAAATATATGCAAGAAAGTGTCACTGAGAGTATCGTAGAGTTTTGTGAAATTTTGGTCTCTCTAGCAGAAGTCGATTATAAGGTAACGAATTGGAGAAAATAGAATTCATTTGATTATTTGCATTATATCCCATTATTCAAGTCATCATTTTTAACATTGATAATCTAGAATGTCTCAATAACAGATCTTCAACACCAAAACAACACGAACTATTACCTACTAAATTATCTCTTCCTCTCAATATTCGACAAATGCATCACACCTATAAATTTTGAAATGGCGTCAACTTATTGTGAAACATTTTATCCGCGGTATTTTGATGTACCGGGACGAGAAAAACCTAGTAAGCGTGTGAATGTGGACGATAAAACACGATTGAAACGTTTGGTGGTATGTATGTATATGTAAATAAAAAGTGTGTTTAATATGAAATTTTGGTTTTTCTGAGTTTTCTTTGTTATTGGGATCATTATTGTTCAAGATATATATATGTATATATATTTCTGATACAGCATTCAGCTATCAAATCAGGGATTGCGATTGATCAGTTATTTAATTTTGTAATTGATTCGACGTATTTGGGTAACTATGGTTATTTTAAATATTATTATGTTCTTATTTATTGTCTTTTATATATTATATTTTGATAAAGCGTGTTAATATTTAATTAATACAGAAGAAAACGAAGAAACAATAACCCCAGAAATAATAAAAGAGTGCCAAATACCATCAAATGGAATATTGATATATCTGGCATCATTGATATATTATCAAATAATTGTTTCTTTATCAGATTCCAAAAAGTCACAATCATCGTCACAATTAAAGATTGTTTTGCCCTTAATTCTATCAAGCGCTTGGCTGGTCAACAAAATTATACCGGTTGCGTCGAATGGGTTTCCAAAGTAATTCTCTTTATAAGAAAATTAGCGCTTCTTTATTTTGATTAAATACAAAGTATGCAATCATCATTACTAGAGATCCTACGAATACTACATTATCTGATAAGATATTGCTGGTTCTGCTATATTTTACTGATCGGATTGAAGAAGGAACTATAATTAATGAATACTTGGAAAAGGAAATTGGTGATACTAAAATCACTATTATGGATTTTATTCAGGTATACTGTGTTAAATCTTATGTCTATTTAAAGCTTATTTTTAATATGAATATTTGTTTTAATAATTTCATATAGTCGATTGCAAGTTTTGCCTCCACTTGTCCAAACTCTCAACAGAGATTTATTGCTTTTCGACTATTGTCACGCATAATCGATATATGCTCCAACGACGTGAAAGCTATAATCTTGAATGAGTTGTTGGTAAATTGTCCGTTCGAAACAATGAAGACCGCTACGATAGGTATTATTAAGGCGAATATTGCGACTAGTCTTTCAAAGGTCTACGATGTTGACGAGTCGAAATCTCGTAGAGTAAGCAAATATTGTATATCATATTTTTTTATTTACTTATATTAATGCTTATATTTAAATAATTATAATTTAGCCAATTGGCTCAATTTTCGCGAGTTCTTTTGTTGTAACAACATTTATACCGAAAATTCTTCGGTTTCAACAATCTCAGCCTGAACTATTGTTATATGACGAGTCTGCGTTCGTGGAAAAGTATAGTTATATCATGCAAGGATTAAATTTTTATTATTTGCTTTTATCCAAAGATGAGAAAAATTTGGTACGTGCCATGTTTTTATTTTGTGTATAGATCTCTTGATTATTTTTTATCCAGAATGTATACACATTTTTTTAGACGACAGTCTGGGACGCGAGTCAGATTCGTGACACACAAAAAGAATTCCTGGACCCGTTAAGAAAAGCAAGTGATCATTGGATTGGTGTTTATCAAAGTAAACTTGAAGAATTGAAGAAGTCGCAGGGTATTTATTTATTATTTCGTCTTGATACTTTTTATTTTAGGAACTCTGTTTTTATTGACTTACTATAATTTAATTGATAAAGATGAAGACACAATTACTACAACTGCCACCATTATCACAGAAGAAAATGTTGAAAAAGAAGCTTCTGGTAGAGTGGAATTAGAAATATCTATGGATGCTAACGAAACAGAAGAGTCATATCCATCACAAAAGAAGTTGAGCCCACTAGAGGAATTGCAAGTAAGTATAAAATCAAGCTTTTAAATTTAAAAAAGTTTTATTAAATTCATACATAAATTTATTAACACAAATTTGATATTTTATTAGATGATTGAAAGCAAAATAATAAATATGCAATTACTTCAGAATTATATTGATCAAATAAATAATAAAGTTTTAGAAAAACAAAAAAAGAAAAAGACATGACTTGAAATTATTCAAAATTAATAATTTACTTTTGTGATTCATATAATATATAAAAATTAATAAATTTATTTATAATACATATTTTTATTGGAAATTTCAAAAATAACTTTATCAATTTGAAATTCAATATTATTATAATATGAACTTTTAGTAGAATATTAGTTATTTATTATTAATTACTTTATATTTAATATGATTAAATAATTAATTATTTATATTTTATTAAATATTAACTTAAAAAAAATATTTGTGATGATTTTAAAGAGTTCTATAAACTTTGATATAAGTTTCTTGATTGTTTTTTATTTATTAATTGGAGATTCTATATTATAAATAGAGAGAAAAACTCTATTTTTAAGATTGAATTCTTCAAATCTTTTATATTAATTTATATATTTGATTTACTATCTTGTATTTCTAATAATAGATCTTTTACTGTTTTCATTATAATATTTTAATACTTTATAAAATCCTGAGAAATTGCAATATTATTCTGAGATAATAAAATATTTATTGATGTGTGAGATATTTATTTACAATTTAATTCAAAAGATATATGACCAATTAAAACATTTTTACTATTATTATAGGCAAATTTTGCAACTGCTAGATTTTTATCCTATCTATTTTGTTAGTAGATAATATATATTCTTAATATTTCTTCCAAGATTCTATTTAATCTTTCTGTTTGGCTATCAGTTTGAGGGTGAAAGGCTATAGATATTACAAGTTTGGTATCTAGTTATTCAAAAAGAGATTTTCAAAAATGACTTGTGAATTTTACATCTTTGTCTAATATTTTAATTATAGGTAAGTCATATAATTTAAAGATATTTTTAAAGAAAATCTTTGCAATATCAAGTATAGTTGCTATTGTTATGATTGATACAAAGTATATTTTTTTGATAACTTATTTATAAATATTACTATTACATCATATTCAGACTTGATAGTTAGGAGTTGAACTATAAAATTCATGATGATATATTCTTATCTATATTCTGAAATAACTAGAAATTAGAGTAATCCTGAAGATTATTAATTACTAGCTTTATTATATTGATAAAATTCACAATTAATAATATATTTGTAAATATTTTTATTTATTTTTAGCTAATAAAACTGTTAAGAAACTATTACATAAATTTTATCTATTTCAATATATTCTGCAATTGATATATCATGAAATTCAAATAAGATTTTTGCTTTTAAAGCTTTATTATCTGAAATAGTTAGATAACTTATATTTTTTAAATAAAATAATTTTTCTTTTAATTTAAAGTTTTTAACTTTAGTTTGTTACTTTGGGTTAGTATTACTAAGACTTTATATATTTCTGTAAAATATTTATCTTCTTGATACTTCTTTATCAAGTCTTTTTTTCTATTAGATTGATGATAATAACTGAAATATTTATTAAATATGATTAATATAAAAGTGCATTTGCTATTATATTATCTTTATTAGGTTTATACTTCATTTCAAAGTTATTAATCTGCAAGATTTCTAACTAGTAAGCTTATCTCTTGAAAAGATTATGTTATATTTTTATATATTTTAAGAAGATAAGATTAATTATTATTATAAACTTTTACTCTTTTAAATATAACTTTCAGAGTTTGATTACATATATAATTACAAATAGTTCTATTAGTAAATTTGATAGATATTAGATCAATAATAATTAGTAAATATGTTAATTATTACTGATTTTTTGATTATATTAATTCAAAATCTGTGCAGAACTTTAAAAATAGAAATTTTGAAGAAGTATAACCCAAAAAAACTGTAATAATTAACATAATTACAGATCATTACAATTCTTTGGATATAAATTAAATAGATAAATGATAAATAGATCAATTATATGTATTATTATTTGTTTTTTTTCTTTGAAGTTTATTACAGATGTAAATTTGACTTTAAAATTCTTTGTCTATTAGTTTTTCAAAATATATATTTATTTAACAAAAAAAGATTTTTTTTGTCAAATCTTGATATAATATATATCTCTTGATCTATAGATTCTATTGGAATTATATTATACTCTTTGGTATAATATAGATGAGAATAATCATATTTTTCTGACTCATTTAGCATAATATTATATCAATAAATCATAGCAAGATTATATGAATCCTTTGCTAATTCTCAAAAAAACTGTAAAAAGAGCAGCATCTTTTGGAAGAAAATGCAAAGATTAATTCATTTAAAATTACTAAATTTGAAATTATATTTTACTATTCTTCAAGTTATATTTATCTTTTTGTATCAAGTATCTTTATCTGATCTATAATAACTTTGATCTTTAGCTAAAGTTACTATAATGTTACTAAATTACTCTTTATCATGAAAATTTTCAGATATTCTTAGAATTTTATCACTTTCCAAATAAATCATATTATAAACTTTTATATAAAAGTCTTTACTTTTAGACTCTTGTGATGATATATCAAGAAATATATCTAGCATAGTGATTATGTATAATAATTCTTTAATAAAGTTTGAATATGATAGATTCTTTAAATTCTTCAATAAAATTACTTTTACTTTAATAGTATTCAAAAATAATTCCTATAATATCTTGACAAATCTCATAATTTTATGATAAATTATTTTACTTGTTATTAGAGTCAATTCTTTATACTTCATCTATAAGTATAGTTTAGAATTTATAACAAATTAATCATAATTGACATGCTTGACTTATTACATTTATTATTTACTACATGGTATTTTTTTTATTCAATAATCAGTACAGATTTTTCACATATGACTTGTGAAATATTTCATATATTTTCATCAAGAAACTATTCAAGATACTATATTTATAAATTATCAAAATCATGTGATAACACTAATATATAATTTAAAAAGCTACATTTCATAATTGATAATAATAAGAAGATTCTCTTAAATTCAATTAATCAGTCAGTAATAAGAATTTGTATTTATTTTCAAAGTCCATTATTAGTTTTTTAAAGTTTAATTAATTTTGCTTTATTTTATTTCAAATTCTTTTAAATCATTTTTAGTAAATGATTCTTATCTACTCATTATATACATCCTATTGAACTTTATATAAAGCATACAAAATTTATTGTAAATTATATTATTTCATGTATTAAAGATATTATATAATATAAAAAGAATAATTTTTATGATATGTTGATAGTTTGTAATTGATATCACTTTTATTTAATCCAATTTATCAAATAACTTTAATCTAGAAAAGTAAAAAATTTGATAAAGATGGTTATTAAAGTTATTTAGTAATTCTATTTTTCTAACTTTTTTCAAAATATCTTGGATAAAGTTTAATTAGTATTTGAAGAAACCAAGATTAATATGATGCATATGATTAGATATGTAAGCTTCATAAATATTTAAGTTTTTATAATAATTTAATAATTTTAATTTAATTATAACTCAAAATTATT